TAGTTGTGTAATTATATTAATCCAATCAAACATGACAAAGGTAATTATACTGTGGCAATCAAACAGGTTAGTGTAATTACTAGATTGGTAATTACTATCATAATAATTACATCAATTTCAATTATCGGATGACTTTCCAAACAGACCCTAAAATTGTTTTTTCTTGAATTTTATGATTTTAAATAAAAAATATGCTAAATTAGTTTTTGATTTTGTAATATTAAATATATTACCTGAAAAGTTAGCTTATTTTGGATCCTCAATTGTCTTGACATTATTTTTTAAAAAAAACGAAGCTTTTCTTAGAAAGTCTATTCGAGTAGATCCAAAAAAAGGAAACTAGTAACGCAAACTGAAATCAACTGCTCAGTGAATTTATTGAGATATAATACGATCAAATAATTAAAAATGTGCTCAGTCTAACAGTGAGATAGTCGCACAGTGTAAGGAATTTTCAGGTATTTAGCCCAATAAAAAGAATCACATGTAAGGGGGCGTATTGAGATATGATATAATTAAATAATTAAATAATTAAAAGTATGCCTTCTCTAACCACGTAACTTTTAGCTTATAGATGAGATGATCACACTTCAACAGTATAAGCTACTTCTACAATACAATGTACAGCTAGTTCCGGGGACAAGATTGCATCCAAGAAAAGAAAGAGAGAGAAAAAATTGAACAAAGAATACAACCAAACCTAACAACCAGTAAAATACTAATTGAGTTATGGACAACAGAGTCAATCGATCAAACTAAACCTCAATCCCCAAAATTGGACTTCATAGCGTAATATCATAACTTAAAAGTGACCAAACTAAAAGGCCACTTCAAAGTGACAGTATACTTCTTTTTTGAGCCAAGGAGCACAAAATAAGGAAGAAATTCAAGTAAGAATCTACTTGTTTTTTAAAAACAAAGGGGCATGGATGAAGAATTCACAGATTTGCACTTAATGTAGCTGAAGCTGCCATCAAGATGAACAACATTTCCAACTTATGAAGTGTAAAGGCACAAAGCATTGAACTCAGATCATATGGTTAAGGGCGGAAGTATATTTATATCATGTTTCCTCATTCCTGAAACATAGGTTCTTTTGAAAAGGAAGTGAAACCTTGATGAATCATTTTTCAACACTATTGCAAAAAGCAACGCAAGTATATCTTATACGTTCTTACCATTATCTAATAGTTTAAAAGCAAATGTTGCGTCACAATCCTATATCTATTTCTGTGTATCATGCTCCTCTACAACCAACTGGAACCAGGCATCTTATTGAATCCCTTGTCCTTCATCATGTTCCTCACATTCTCAACATTGTCCCACTCTCCCTCAGCAGCATAAATGTTTGAAAGGGCTACAAGACCTTCAGGCTTCTTCAGGTCCATCTGTAATATATCCTTAGCCATCTTTTCAGCAAGATCTCTCCTTGCATAGACCTTACAGCCACTGAAGAAAGCACCAACAATTGAATCTGTAACTTCTATTGCCATATCTTTGACTATATTGTAAGCCTCCCGACACGACACAAAAGATCAATAACACAAGCATAATGCTCTTTCCTTGCTCTAATGCCATAAGACTCCTCCATGGACCAAAAGATCTTCAAACCCTTCTCAACTAAACCACCATGACTACATGCAGAAAGAAGACAAGTTAAGGTTACTTCATTTGGCAGCACTCCTTCATACTGCATCTTCTCAAAAAGTTTGATTGCATGTTCTATTCTGCCATGCTTCCCATAACAACTTATCATAGCATTTCATGATGCAACATTCTTGAAAGGAATAGAACTGAAAACATTCCAAGCATCTTCTACACTCCCACATCGACTGTACATGTCAATGAGAGCACTAGCAACAAAGACGTTAGCAAAAAGCTCTAATCTATATGCTAAGCCATGGATTTCTTTCCCTGTATATGCAGAGTCAATCAACCCACAGACTGGCAGAAGCCCAGTGAGCGTGATTTCATTAGGCTTCACTCCAGCATCCAACATTTCCTGCAATAATGCTACAGCTTCAGTTGATCTGCGGCTCTGAACATACCCTGAGACCATTGCATTCCAGGTAACCAAATCTGGAGTCAACCCCTCTTCACTCATTTTTGAGAGTAACATAAAAGCTGTGTCACAGTCTCCTCTCCTAGCATATCCAGCGATCATTACATTCCATGTAAAATCATTAGGCTTTAGGTCTTCTAACCTCATTTTTTTCAAACAAAATAAAGGATTCTTCAATTTTCCCTACGTTAGCATATGAATATATCATTGATGTCCAGGATACAATATCTCTCTCGACCATTAGATTAAAAACTAAACGAGCATATTCCGTACTGCCACATTTGCCATACATATTAATCAAGACATTGGCAACCGATAGCTCTGACTCAAATCCCATTCTATATATCATACTCTGCACTTCCTTTCCTTTGTTCAGATCCATTAGACCAACACATACTTTTAACACTACAGCAAATGTGTACGTGTTCGGAATAGTTCTTGATTGATGAAGAAGAGAGAAGTACCCAATGGATTTCTCAGCTGAAATCATCCAATTAAATGCAAAAATATTCAGGTTTGTTGTTCTTTGGAACACAAGCTCAGCAGAACCTAGATCCCCGCAACTTGCATAGGCACCGATGAGCTTTGAATTCAATGACAAAGCATTCATGTCAGTGTGTGATGTTAACATTAATGCATGAATTTGCTGGCACGGTTGCAGCAACTTCTCTTTCAAGCATTTTTGTAGTAACAAGCCAAAACCGCTTACAGACAGGTTGATTGGGGAGAAGAGGTACAATTTCATGTCCAAAAGGAAGTCCCAAATGGAAACACTCACATGTGTTGATTTTCGATATTTTACTGGAATCTGCATATGTAAGACTGTAAAATAACATAGTCAAATACAATAGAACCCAATTCAAAACCCAAAAGCGCAACCTTTAACATCAATCTTGTTCATACAACCACGAACACGAGATGATCAAATCCCCATTCCTAACCACAAAAAGATATAAAAACAATTCAAAAATGAGTTCTTTATCATCCTGCAAAGATCTGGAGAGAGAGCAAGTCAGTCCTACTGATTGAAGAGTACTGAATCAAAAAATCTAACTCTTGCAGACAAAGCCACAGAAGCCTCAATTTCTACATCTGGTAAACATTACTCCATTTGTAAACTGAAGACTCACTGTAAGACAGACACAGATTGCTAATTAACCAGTAACAGTACCCTACATCCCCATCAGAAGCAAAATCAAGAAAGCAATACACCCTTTACACTCTATTAGAAGGATTTGAGTTAAACGAATCACTTTACAGTCACAAATGAGATCTCATTGAACATCAACACAAACATGCAAATCCAAACTAACAAAAGAAAAATTAAATCCATATACTTTGCTTGTGACATAGTAATCTTTAATTACCTATTCTTTGTTACTACTTATTAATTTAGAAGTCTAAAATGCGTACAAATTAAAGACTCACGTGCTGAAGCACAAATCGAGATATCGATTAAACAAGAAGAAAGTTTACCATAAAAATTCTCTTCTTTTATTGAAAAATTCAGTCCATACAGCCTCTAATTTCAATGAAAATATTATCTTTGTGAATTAAAGTATATATACACACTTTAATTCACAGTAAATACTGCTAAGCATAAATTTTGACATTGCTGGATAGTGAGAAAAACAGCATTTCTCCACTTTTGATAGTAGAAGATGGTATGTTGTAATTTGCAGCTGAGGTTGAAGAGCCTTTCTGGTACACATAAGAAGCAATTGTTAAACTAGGTTACCACTATTATCGACTTAAAAGCTTAGTTTGATCCTCGTTTAGCACATTCTTCAGCTCGTGTTAGTGCGTCAGTTATAACATCTATTGTCCAATCCTTGACATCTTCCTGCATATAAGCAATCAAATGAAACAGCATGGTCATTCCATTGTTGTCATGCAGCTGAACCAGGAAGATTATTGAGGGAAATAGTTAAGGTATCAGAACAAGAAAGCATAAATGGTACCACTTTATAAGATAACTAAGACGTTTAAGACACGATGATCTTGCATGATCTCAGGAACAACTTTCCAAATAAAACATACGAAAAGAATTGCACTGCTCCTAACCCAACAGAATCCTGAAACCAAAACTCAAGTAGAGAAAGTTCGAAGACTACGTCGTACTCCCATAGTCCCATTTTCTACAGGCTTCTTCCGTTATTTGGATAGACAATTTCTTTCAAACTAATTTGTAATATTTCACCAGGCATTGGAACTTTCCCGTTAAAAATATTAGCTAACAGTTCCCCGTTGGCCGTCATATAGCTGGTTGCCTTTAGACGATCGACTACTTCCAACATAGATATTCATCATTTTTACGCTTTTGGCCTAAATTTGAGAAGAGCTGATCTTGAACCATTCCAATCACATATTATGCGAGGGTTGGAGACATTAAACGTGTCAATATTAGGAAATTGTGAATATGAAAAACTAAAAGGAAGATCTAAACATCGAGGATAAAAAGTAGAAAGGAAAGAAGCAATTCATCATATGGGAGAAAACACTCAAGGTCAGGTCAACAACAACAAACTGGTTCCGGAAAGAAAATCGAACCTGATAGGAAGTGAAATAGAAGATGAAGCAGGGGACTTGATTGACCTTGATAGAGAGATCGCGGTAGGAATGTTGTGGGAGAAAGACCCATGAGCCTGTGATGAAACTCTGCCGAAGATGATGGATGCCACGTAAGACACAAATCATGACTTCCGGTGCCAGGGTTTTGGGGTTGGGGTTGCTGGAGACTGGGAAGCCTTTCTAAGAGGGACGTGAGACTTGAAACTTGTCAGTACACTCCTGTCAGTGAACCAGATTTGCAACTTCCTTTCTTCCTCACATTCTTTTTGGGATTAAAATAGGGAATAACTGTTTAACAGTCCGGGGACCCAAACCCTCGGCTCCGACATCATTAAAAGAAAGAAGAATGAATTTCTTGATTTCTCAAGCATGTTGAGATTTAAATAAGCATTTACAAGTAATACAGAAAAAGGAAAGAAACTATTTCTTGTTCCTAATTACACAATTACAGGGACTCCAAATCTTTCCCATATTACAAGGTACCTATTCTTGCAATATTTAGTATTTCATAATATTGACGTTCTTAACTGGAAAGAAGGAAAAGGAAGAAACTTTAGGGCATCGAATGAGGCAAGTTCAATTTAGAAAGAAAACTCAGGACAAAGTTTCCTCATGTCAGTCCATGAGAACAAGAACACAAAATCCACAAAAAAGGCAATTTCTTTTTTTGATAACCGTAGTGTCCGGATCAATTTGGTCACACCTCAATAATTGCACGAGGTACTTACTTCCTCCCACCAACACAAGTAACAGGTAACTCTATCCACCAAGGGTTGGACAAATGTGAAGAAACCACCTAGTGTTATTTTTGCCTCTACTAGGATTTTAAACTTGAGACCTCATGGTTCTCAACCACTTCGTTGACACTATGACATGCCCTTGGCACCCAAATAATGGGATGCAAATACCAAGAACTACAATTTTTGTTTTTTCCTCTTTCAAAGGAAATGGGATGTCAAATACCAAGAAGTTCAATTTTTGTTTTTTCCTCTTTCAAAGGAAATGGGATGTCAAATACCAAGAAGTTCAATTTTGAATAAGTTCAAACTTGACTGTGCTCGATTTCATGTTAAATGCATGATACTAAGTGTGGATGATTGTTGAAAATTACGCAATTTTGAAATAATATTTGTCAAAGTAATTATTTTTAGGCTTCTTATTCGTTGAATAGCACAAAGTACATTTTTTACACATGTTTAACCATTTTTGACACAAATTTGTTGATAATCAATCCTTCTTTATGGAAATATGATAATTTTTATCAATTATCGTTTCCGTTAATTTCAATTATCACTAATTTTCACTAAAATGTTATTTCATAAAGTTCACTATTTATGGGGCCTTAAATTTTTGGAGGTCTAAAGCAAAAGCTTCATTGATTTCCCTCTTGAGCCATTCTTGTCCATTAAATGGTGACACTTAGAAAAATTCTTCTGTACACCACTGCCTCTACACCCTCCTATCTAAGGTCATGTCTTTGGTAACCTGAAGTCATGTCATGTTCTGTCTAATCACTTGTCCCCAATACATCTTCGGCCTAACTCTACCTCTCCTCTTACCAACTATAAACTACACGAGGACTTGAGGATTTAGTTAAAATTTTATCTGGGTCCCTTGGATTTATCTATGCAAAGACCTTATGATAGCTCTATTACAATTAGCAAGAGACCTTACAAAAGCACTAACGTGGTTTCAGATTTTGACCTTGTCATAAATATCAGTGTAAGTCCATATTCACAATAACAGTGACAAAGGGCTTCACCTCTAAATTCACTGGTAGAAAGAGATAATAGGGCAACAGAGGAATATTGGGGTTACGACAAACACGGATAAGGTCTAGATGGGTTGGAGTAAAATTGAGAAGCCACTAGGAAATATCGGGAGGGAGCAGATACCACGATAAAAGAAGGATTTGGTGCAGGCATGAACCATTGAAAATGTTGCGTCGGTAACGACTATGACTAGTCAAGAGTAAGCTGTTTGCAGAAGGAGATGGAGGAGAAGTACTGATAGGATCCTGAAAGGTAGTGCAAATGATAAATGGAAGGTATACAACTAACAGGAATATAGGGGCGACTATGGGATTAAAACATAAAGTGAAACAAGAATCTTATAATAGAGTGTGTCGTCTAAATATCCGTCCATACTAGTTAGTAGTCATAGTATTGCTCCTATAGTTTCTTGTCCTTTGATTCTGTTACTATTTGTACTTCCATTACTTTTTTTGGACTGCTTTGGACGATTGTTCCTTGAGCCAAGGGTCTATTGGAAGCAACCACACTACCTCTTAGGTAGGGGTAAGGTCTGCGCAAACTCTACCTTCTCTTGACTCCAATGAGTGGATTACACTCCAATGAATCACAAGATTTCATTTTATTTTTTTATTTTTTATGAAGTGAGATTTCATTAAGGCATCTAGTAGAAGTAAGGATACAAAAAGTGGGGGATCTGTCAGCTCAGTAAGACAAAGAACTTAAGGGTCGTTTTGTTTGAATTCAAGTTATGATGGGATTATTATTTATTGAGTGTTTGGTTTATTGCATTCAAAATAAATAAATTTTAAGAATAATTTATTTGTTTACAAAAATATCCTTCATAAATGTAAAAAATGATGTAACAAAAGGGTTGAAAGAGACATTTTTGTCATTTACTTATTTTATCCCGATATTACTATACCACCCAAAGGGAGGGATAACTAATCCGGGTACTAATTTTAATCCCGGAATAAGTTATTTCGGACTTGTCAACCAAACAACAAATTAAGTGATACTATAATTTAATCCCAGGACTATTTGATATTATCCTTCCCACTAAACGACCCCTTACAGAGGCTAAGGAGCTGACAAAATCCAGGTAATAATCTAAGTTATTTACAGGGGAAATATTGGCCCAACTAAAAAAGCTAACCAAAGGACTAGCCTTAAGCTTACAAATTGGAATTAAAACTCCACCAAATATCTCCTGTTTCTTTCATTCCAAATAACCCAAAAAATATAAGCTAGGTCATGAATCATGATCCAGATTTTCCTGATAGATTTTCTAACTTCCATAGAGCTCCAACTAGTGTAGGCATCTCTGATATTAAAGGGGCATGGACCAGCTTATACCAAAAAGTGCTAGATCTCATAAGATTTCATTTTCTTGAAATAATAACTTAGATGATAGGTTTGCAGTTAATGGAAAGAAGAGAAATGGATTAAATTTGTTTTACATCGCCCAAAAAGTCATGGGAAAAGATTAGTTTTGACTGCCAGGAGATCGTCATTGTAGTTGCAGGAATAGTGGACAAACACTCGTGTTGCTAGAATAACTCCTGAAGAAAAAAAAGCAGGTAACTGCAGGAATGGTCACCAAAAAGGCGTGTGGTGTTGCTGGAAAGATGTGCAGCTCCACCAAAAAAGCCACGGAAAAAATGTGAGGTGTCACTGAAAAGGTATCCAGAAACACGCTCGATGCTACATAACGATCACCAAGATTAGTCCCGATGCCATCACAACAATCACTGACACTAGCCATGATATTACGAAACGGGCACGGTAAATAAGAGTAATGCCTATCGGAATGAGGGTTTTAGATTCTACTAAGATCATACAAGATTCTGATAGCATGCGAGGAACTAAGAGGAGAGAAAATATGTATTAACTACTTTCCGATAATTAATACAATACACACTTTTACTTTAGGTGAAAAACAAAAGATCTTGCATCTAACCCATTCGAGAAGTAGAATATCACTAGTATAGAAACTTGACTAGCTATCTAACACCACCTTAATTTTGCACTAAGGTTGGCATGCCTAGTTCTAGGCCAAAAGGCAAACAATGTGAGCATACCAATAAACCTCTAGACCCTACAACATCATTTGTCATTATTGATATTCTGCTAAAAAGCATTCCACTAGTAGCCTGAATGTCTTACAACTATAGGAAGCTTTCTAACCCACTTTGTTTGTTCTCTAGAATGTTAGCAGGAAAAATACCTATCACCAGATAAATGAAAGGTTAAAGAAGTATGCATTTACCATCTTCAAAGGCTCCCCTGTCCTAAGCTTTGCATTTGGACGAGCTAGTTTAGATTCAAACGGAGTTCTTGGTCGCACTTCCTGAACTGATTCCCATTCCTCGCGGGTAAGCATCCTAACTGTTCCTTGACCAGCAGGCGCATTCTTTATTTTTCGCTCAATCATATCTTGCGACTTTGAGTCATCATACTGCATGCAAACACAACTGTAATTTATAAGCTACTCAGCTGATTTATAGATTGTAAAACATACAAGCAAGTTTACTACACCAAAGAATTGAAAATATCTTAGTGTTCACCTCAAGTCCAACACATCCATACCTGTCGAATAAACTTTAAAAGTAGCGACTCGATAAAATAAACCTAGGCTTGTATGGGGAGACTTCAACGCTCTTCTACAAAGTCAAGATAGATTGTATGGTGCCCCAGTGTAACAAGAGATGAATGTGTGCAAGACCTATTATTAAATGAGGTGATGTGGAAAGGAGAATTTTGTTCATGGTCAAACAAACAACTTGGTTCAGCTAGAATATTTAGTACTGGACAGGACAATGGGGAATGATGAATGGATGCTATAGTATGGACAATTGGTGCTGGACTACAAATTGCCAAACATTCCAGATCACACACCTATGGTCCTGGAGATGAAAATGACTACACTCAGCATTAAAGCTCCATTCAGGTTCTTTATTGTGTAAAGAAGTTGGACTGGTAGGTTCCAAGATAGAAAATTTAAATGTGTTTGGCAAAAGTTGAAGGAGTTGAAACCTCATCTTACCCAGTTGAACAATACAAATTACAAAGAAGATCCATCACCTCAGGAATACATTACAACTCTACGCAGCTGAAACTCTCTTCACAGTATACTGATGCTATAGCACTGGAAGAAAAGGATCTTTTGATCCAACTAGAGAAATGGAGCAATATAAAGGAGAGCTTCCAAAAAAAAATCCAGATCTATGTGGATTAAATTGGGGGACTCAAATACTAAGTATTTTGCAGCAATAATGAAAGAAAGACACCACAAGAAACAGATTATCAAACTTACTTCAGCAAATGGAGAAAAGATTTGTGGATCCGGATGAAATTCAAAATGAGATTATAACATTTTACAATTCTTTAATGGTAACTGCTCAAGTAAGCAACTGCAGTCAGTGAGAGTATTTTGAAGTAGGGGCCAACACTGAATCAATCTCAACAAATGGCCTTGTGTGTAGAGGTTACTGAGATGGAAGCTTATGATGGACTATGTTCTATTGGTGATGATAAGGCTCCAGGAGTTGATGGCTACAATGCTATGTTCTTCAAAAAACCTTGCCTGTGATTAAACAGGGGAGCAGTTAAGGAGTTCTTTCTACTGGAAAGTTACACAAAGCAGTGACTAGTACTGCAGTTACACTGTTACCCAAAGTTCCCAATCCCTCCAATATGAAGGAGTATAAGCCCATAGCATGTTGTACAGTCCTATACAAACTCATAGAAAAATTGTTGGCAAATAGAATCCACCAGGTGATAGAAACTGTGATCTCAGAAACACAACCTGGATTTGTACCCAGGAGAAAAGTGGCAAATAACATTATTCTTGCACATGAACTAGTCAAGGCCTATAACAGGAAGAATATCTCACCCAGATGTATGATGAAGGTGGATATCCAAAAAGCATATGATATTATTGATTGGAAATATTTAGAACAAATGATGTCAACATTGGGGTTTCCTCTCAAGTTCATAGGCGGGGTGATGCAATGTGTAACTACTGTCTCCTACTCTTTCTTGATCAATTGGGAACTAACAAAACCTTTTGAGGCAGCTCGAGGACTACGACAAGGGATCCAATCTCCCCCTTTTTGTTTGCTATGTTCATGGAATATCTAAGTAGGAACTTGAATGACTAATCCAATCACAAGATATTCAAATACCACCCTATGTGCAGTAGGCTTAAGAATACACCTTTAAGCTTTGCAGATGACCTCCTCATGTTTAAAAGAGGTGACCAAATATCAGTTCAACTACTCCACGTCAAGTTCACTGTGTTCACAGTAGCTTCCGTATTGGAAGCTAACTTGTCTAAAAGTGCTATATATTTTGGAGGAGTATTTGGTACTGTAATGTGTCACATCCAACAAACTCTGGGATACAGTCATGGGGCCTTACCTTTTCGATACCTTGGTATACCTTTGTCCACTAAGAAACTCAATCTTATTCAGTGGCAGCCATTGATTGATCAAATAGTAGCAAAAATATCTTTCTGGACAGCTAAAAAAGTATCCTATGCAGGGAGAGTTCAGCTTGTTAAGACATTGATTTTTTGGGATTCAAGCATACTGGACACAACATTTTATGATACCAACTAAGGTGATGAAAGCAATCCAATCCTACTGTAGGAGTTTTAAATGGTCTGGAGTCAACAGCATAACTAAGAAGGCCCTAGTCTCTGAGGAGAAGATGTGTACACCAAAGGTGGCGGGAGGATTAAACTTGGTGAATCTAAAGGTATGGAACAAAGCAGCAGTTCTAAAGATGTGTTGGGATATAGAGAAGAAGCAGGATAGACTTTGGATCAAATGCATACACAGTTATTACATCGAAGGCCAAAATATGGAAGCTCTCAGGGTTCCCGCTCAAGCTTGTTGAATAGTTAGAAAAGTTCTTGGAGCAAAGTATCACCTACATGTACTGCATCATGGTATTGATTGCAAGATAAGGCAAGCCTAAAATCAAATGCTAGGTGATTACCCAAAAGGTTGATTGGAGAGGTCTCATATGCCGCAACTTCGCAAGACCTAAAGCCATTTTTATCTTATGGCTGCAAATCCAGAACAGACTTCTTACAACAGATAGGTTGCTGAAATGGAGAATGCAAGTAGATCCTAAATGTGTTATGTGTAAGCAGGAAGATGGAGCAAGAGACCACTTATTTTTTGAGTGTGCATTTGCCAACTCCTTATGGAGAAGATTACTTCAATGGACTACTATCAGACATCCTCCAAGCAATTCTTGGAATGCAATGCAACAGTGAATCATCCAGAAGACTAAGGGAAAAAGCCACCAGGCCCAGCTACTACAACTAGTATACACAGATATTATTCATGCCATTTGGAAGGAGAGGAAAAATAGAGTTTTTGAGAAGACAGAGACTACAATGGAGGATATTGCTTGTAGAATTGCTTGTTTTTGTTGTTTTAGAGCTACTGCCTGAGCCAGGTTTTAATTCTCTAAGTTTGTAAGCAGACTGCAGATTTTGTGATAACCAGTCGAGTAGGACTTGTTTAGCTTTGTGAGTACCTACTTTGGTGGAAAAAAAAATCCTAATTACCAAAAAAAAAATTTAAGAAGTACCTATGATGGAGACTTTGGGGTTTGTATATTAAGTCAGCTAAATTCCATCAACCTCCTCAATGAATATCAACAAGATTCAACTTTAGTTCCTTTAACATTATTGAATGTAAATTGAAATAAGTGTCATTAATTCAAACCAAGAAAAACGACGATATTCTACAGTCTATAAGTAGTTCTATATCGAGATACCATTTCTTTGGTACATTACAACACTAAAGTTGTTCTCCTATTAAGATTATGAATATTAATGAACCATCATGTCACTACACCTAAGAAGCATCATTTAAACCTTCTCAAGTATCAATTTCCCAAGCTTCTCTTCTATTTACCATAACAATCCACCAAAATCACAACCAACAAATGAATATATTTATTAGGGGTTTGTCCAATTTTAAAATCATTCAAATTTCATCCAAATATTAAATAGGACTTTACATAAACTGCAATGGAGCATCATACCATCATGAGGAGCTTTGCGAAAAGTGCAGTCCCAACAACAGTGAGTATCATGGGCATAGTAGCAGTATCAAGGAACGATCTTGAATCAGGAACCTGAACAAATAACTGATTCTTTCGAGGATCTTTTCGTTTCCTCTTTACCTTCAATTCAGCAACCTTTCTCTTCAACGTCTCGCTAGGGCCATATTCACGAGACAATGTATGAACTTGTCTATAGAATTTGTGAATACCCAACATGATTTACTGAGAAAATTGAATCAATTATCAAGTGGGTAACGTAGATAGTGCATCTAACAATTGAGTAGAAGAGAGAATTTGGAAAATATGAAATGAGGGTTTTAGGGTTTTCAATTGCCGAAATAGTACAGCGGTAATTAAATAGATTTTCCTTAGTACCTGAAAAAAAATTATATTCTCTACTAGTGGAGGTAGGCGGGCATTGCCCGGGCCAATGTGAAAAATCTATTTTAAGCCTAATATATAAATGTGTTCTTTAACTTAGCCTTCTTTGCCATTATTTTATTATACATGGTATATATATTGGCAGCAACAATCTTGTGCATAAAAAGTATTGATCAGTACAAGGTAGACAGGGTTTGTGAGCTATTGCATAGGAGCGGGGTTTTTACCCTGTGCACACCCAAAGAGTAGAGGCTGCGGGTTTCCCTTGCCATAAAAAAAATAAAACAAGGTAGACAGTGTTTAGATAATTAAAAGCAACACTATAAAGAACACCCTTTTTTTTAACAACCATAACACAAAGATAGCAGATTAATAATGTTCACTTCTGAGATAGCTTCTTTTGTCTTTAATTGTTCAGTCTTTTCAGCAGTCACGCGAGCTTGATTTTCAAATAGCTTAGAGGTTCTGTATTAGAATAACTTACCATATAGTGTGTGTAGGAGATCAAAGGATTCTGTTGTTTGCTGAATGATGTATGTGGTGGGAGTCGTAGTTGAGTATATCTTCTGTAACAAGAATTTTGTATCATCAAAAGCGGCAAAATGAAAAATCACTCGAACAATCCAACTCTTTGTGCATGTTATGAATCATTTGTTCCAAGTGAGACATTATATAATATTTTGTCAATTCTACACTGATGATTGCTTTCAGCTGGATGGAACCAGTCTACTTAACATACCATAATTACATTCATAAACTTCATAGGGACAACATACAATCATGATCACGATTTTAATCATGTTGACGTGAGTTTCTTTTTCTGCAAGTTTTTGGAATGTTATGTTTAAAAAAAATCAGCTCACTTGACTGAAAGGAGAGGGATGAGTAGTCGTTTTTCAATAACGTGAGAGCTGAATGTTATCATCAGCACTATCACTGTTTTCTGAAGGGAAATCAGAAATATTAGGAAATGTCACGATTCCAGTAAGCAAGTGAAATACTGTAGAAGGCTAAAAGATCATTGTGAATCAAAAGAAGTTTTCCGTAGGCTAAAACAGATAAATACATTAGAATAGACATGGACGGAGGACCTGTAGACTTACACTTACTATAAAAGAAGATAAACAAAGATATGAATTGCCTACATTTAGGCACCGCCAACCCATCATTCTTTAACAATAAGATAAAACTTCATGCACCTTCCTTTACAGAGAGAAGAACAATTACAGGGGAAAAATTCAAACTAATCCTCACCAAGAATCTCTTTATTGCACTACACAAGGACACCAAATAAAGAGAATATAGTAAGGCGCAATTGGTGCAGCCAGCAAAAGAAGAAGAAAAAAACTACCAGAAGTTTTAATATCAGCAATAGCGCAAGATCAGTATAACAAAGTTGTAAAACCCAAAGAATACTGCCAAGTAAACCTGAATTTGGATCAAATTTACAAAAATGCTAATGCAAATCTGCAACATTATTACACATATACTCAAACTTTCTTTGACCACTGTCTTTTTACAAATGTTAGGCTCATCTCACATGTTCAATTTGACAAAAATATGTTTCTAAGATACGTCTAATTCTATTATTTGGAACACAACCTAAAACAAATATTCCATCCCAGAGTAGATAAAGACGAGGTAAACCACCACAGAAAAGAAATTCACTGAACTTGGGCACAAAAACAACTCCAAATTTTTCTAATCATGGGATTACTTTACCTCTATCTTTGTACCTTTGTGGAGTAGAAAGGTTGTTTCTTCGATAGACCTTCAGGTCAAAAGAAATATTTTTAAAGCAGAACTATTGCAAGAGAAGTGTATAAAAAATAGCGAGATACAAAGCTTATGAAACAACCGATAGTGTATACTACACACTTAAAAGAGGTTGTAACCCGGAATCCAAGTCCTCCAGTTCACATTTTTCATTACAGAGAGGACGAAGTATTTAGAAATAATTATACAACTATGCCATAAATCTCAGAACACTACCGTGGGAACTAATACGCTTTTTCCACCTTGCAACTCCATGCCTTGAGAGTTTCCCTGGTAGAAGCAGGTCATAGCTATATGGTGTCCCAATTTTCTCTACATGCTCAACAAGCCAACCGGAAAGCACAACGAACAGCAACTATCTTATACCCAAGAAAAATGTCAAATACTATATTTGCTACTTCTCTAGTTAATTCACTCCCCCACGAGCTCCGTTCTCCCTCCACCAAACCAAAACTAAAAAAAAATTATAACACATTCATGCTCCTGATGAAATTGGAGAGAGATTATGGTACTGAAAAAAATATATTTGCTCTACTGCTCATGATAGAAGTTTAAGACACCAAATCCCTTCCTTCAATGGTTATTTTGCATCTGCAACTTTGCAGAACCATAACTATTAACCAAAACCTTGATACCTATGCATGTCTTGACTATTTATATGAACTTGGCAGTGGTTTGCTTGAGAATCTTTACTGACATGATCCACATACTATAGTAAAAGACATGAAATGGTAAATTCACTAACTATTGGGTAGTAATACAACAGTGTATGATTTATCCACATCTACACAAAAAAATGGAAATAATTAATTGGGTAGTAATACAACAGGGTAGCATAACGAACTCATATCTTCACAATCAAGAAGATCCTGTCTTCTTTCTAGGTAAAAGCCAAAAGATAATGCTTTAGTCTCAGGTGTTTTAACTTTCAAGAAATACAATAATCCATCTCACCAAAACAAAAAGAAAAACTTAATAGTAGCAATTACAACTGCAAAGAAAAATCAAGCAGAAAAAGGTCAGCACAACATTAAAGTTGTACATCTCGTAAAATCAAACAAATGAAAAAAAAAACCAACTAATTAAAAGTCACCATCATCATTACTTCTCTTTTGGCCATATTCAAATCCATAAGGGAAAAAACCAACTAATTAAAAAAAAAAACGGAAAAAGCAGAGGGGAAACTTACCTGTAAACTGGGCAAGAAAGAGCAGTATAGTTTATGGAGAAAAGACTCTTCTTGAAGACGTGAGGGCATTAAAGAGAGTTCAACTTTTTATTCACAAATTACAAAAGGCAACAACAGATAAAAATATGTAAATGCCAAAAATATTCAGATTTAGCTCAAGTTTTTTTTGACTTTTAAAAAAAGTACAGCCTGATAAATCATTATTGTACAAGAATAATAATACTAAAAATAAATGAAAACCCTAAAATGCCCCTAACCCTAGAGTAAAACAAAATACAGCTCTATTGTTAAAAAAAAAAAGTTTCATTCTTTAATATACTCTAGTAGTGTCAGAAGTGTAATTTACACCTTGGTTTTCCTCAACAAAGCGCATTAGGTTTCAGACCAAGGAGCTTGATTGCGTTGGATATGGCGGCACCGGCAGAGATGGTAACGGGCGAAGGAGGCAATGAATCAACGAAGAAAAGTGTAAGGATATATGTTGGTGGTTTAGGCGAAAGTGTGACGGCTGAGGATTTGAAGAAGACATTCTCAACACCACAACTCGGAAAAGTGGAATCTATGGACATCGTTCGAACCAAAGGCCGCAGCTTTGCTTACTTGGATTTACTTCCTTCTTCCGACAAATCCCTACCCAAACTTTTCAGCACGGTATAAACTATAAAGCTTTCCGTATCTCACTTTAATTGTGCGTGCGTACTATGCTAAATTGTCTGTTTTCATTGCATAGATATAAGAATTGGTGCAAATAGCGTAGCATTTCTAGTCTAGGATAAAAGATGAATAACATAAAGAATGGTAGCCGGCACCTTAGTTGGAGAAGGAGGTTAAGAACCTGGATAAAGGCTCCTAATTTATTTAGTCATGTATGGAAGTTGAGGTGAAAGAATACCTTAAGCATATTAGAGAGGTTTGGAGTGTAGGAATGCTAGTGTATTTTAGAGTTTTTGTGAAGCAAACAGCCCAACTCTTGTCAGTGAGTGCAGTATCTCATTAGGTGTTCATTACATTTGCACCCTTCCCTTGGGTGCTGCAAGACATTACTGTATGTTGTTTATCTGTGGTGGCCATCGTTCGGCCTTGTAACCATTAGTATCACATAATATCAAAGTGTCTCTTCGTTATTAGCAGTGTTGTGTACGGCGATCACCTTGTCGTCAATGGCGAGAGGCGAGATGACCCTTCATCACCATTTAGCTTTGTGGTGATCTTCAAAAGGCGACGCCATGATAACAAAAGGCGAGAGGCAAGAGGCAAGAAAGGCATCACCTTTTGTATTTTCTTAAAAAAAGAAGCGACCAATTTAGGATTTTAAAAGTTAAAAGGTAATTTTAGGATTTTCGACTAGACTCCTCTGGCAACTAGCCAGGCTTTTCCGGCGACTCCAAAGTCTAACCAATATATATTTCTTCTTCCTCTTTTTCTTTTTCCTTCTTCAGACTTTAAAATCACTTCTACCTTTGTTTTGATTTTGTTATGTTTTTTTTTCCTCATTCAAGTTATAGACTTTTAGTAAGTACTATCTATTTTCATTTTTTGAATTGAAATATTTGGTAATGTTTTATTGCTTTTGAGATTTTGATTATTTACATATGCAAATACATATTTTAACTTTTGGTATTAATTGATGCCGCACTTTCAAAATGAGAGCGGTGAGGCCGTGAGGCGAGCACCTCGCCTCGCCTTATGACGAGGCAGACTCTTGTCACCTTTTGCCGTCCAAAACACTGGTTATTAGGATAACTTAATCAATTTGCAGCAAGTGAATGGAGTCTTTCCTTTTAAAATCTACTCCTAAGGTATCACCTTGATGCTTAGTGGTGCTAATCCAATTTTGATCTGCAGTATAATGGATGCATGTGGAAAGGTGGGAGGCTTAGAATAGAGAAGGCAAAGGAACACTTTTTTCTTCATATGAAACGTGAGTGGGAAGAAGATGCTACACTTGCCACTACTTCGACCCATCTTCCTGTTAGTGAAGCTGAAAGGATGGACTCCCTGAAAAGTCAGAAGAAAGATTCCAAATTGGATGAAGCGCAAATTCGGATTTACTTCCCAAAATTAGGAAAGGTAATGCATTTTTCCCTGTGCTTGGTTATGACGTCCTTCTCTTGATACAATTATTCTTAGATGACTTATGGCGGGAAAGGTGACTGCATGGTTTACATTTGAATGCAATCTCTTTTAGTAAGACCTATGTTTTTTATTACGTCAAGAGTCATGCTTCTGGAATCTCTTTGTGCAGATTAAACCAGTGTCTCTTAGAGGAACTGGCAAGCATAAATACAGTTTTCAGCGAGTGGAAGTTCCTTCCTTACCTATCCATTTTTGTGATTGTGAAGAGCACTCTGGTACTACTCATATGGACAAGCAAAAATCACTTTGTAATTATGACTCAAAGGATGGTGGAATGGATGAGAAAGAGCTGAACATCATGAATTCAGTGTTGAACAGAATTTTTGAGAGGGAGAACTATTCTGAGGAAACCCCTAGGGATTTTAAATTATCTAAGAAAGTTCAAAGCTCAAATGGTACAGTTGATCATTTGCAGAATGACAAGAATCTAGTCAACCAAGAAATGGTAAATGATGATAACCTCATTCTCAATGTGGTGGCTGGTGCAAACGATAGAATGATTATGGTAAAAGATCCAATCCAGGAAGCAATGACAGCTATTCAGGCTAATGAAGATTTTGTTGACCAAGAAATGGATGACGATGATGACAACCTTATTATCAATGTAGTGGCCGGTGCAAAGGATAGAAACACTATGTTCAAAGATCCAACCCTGGAAGCAATTGTAGCTATTCAGGTTCATATTCTGTTATGTTCTATTTTTCATTTTCCCTGCTCATGGTATAAGCATCTTAGTTTACTTTTTCCTTTTTATGGGTGTCGTGCGAACAGAATTCGCTATCCAAGGAATCACGACTTGCTACGGATAAACAAAAGCAAGGAAAGACGATGCCCTCAAACAGAAAGCGTAAAGCACCTTCAGAGGTAAAAGATGGTGAGGCACATACGTTGTTGTCTAAAGCTGAAGCAAAGCAGAGTTTGGAAGTCACACGAGATAGCCAACTATTAAATAGAAGTGCCAAATTGCCAAAGAAGTCTCCATGGAAAGATCTTGTTAGTGCTAGTAGTGGTGCTTCATTCAGTGTATTGGATATTTTGCCGAGTGCTATTCCTGGTACAGAGATGCAGTCTGGTTCTAATGGTGTTAGTGAGTTCTCCTCCGACGAAAAAGATGAAGTAGCAAACCATGAGAAAGTATCCGATCACCTTGAAGAGCCGGATAAAGTTGAATCTGAAGATGAAGTATCAGATCAGCATGAAGAGCTGGATAAAGTTGAATCTGAAGATGAAGTATCAAACGACGAGGAAGTATTAGATCAGCATGAACAGCTGGATAAAGTTGAATCTGAAGATGAAGTATCAAACGATGAGAAGGTATTTGATCAGCATGAAGAGCTGGATAAAGCTGAATCTGAAGATGAATTATCAAATGACGAGAAAGCATCAGACCAGCATGAAGAGCTGGATAAAGTTGAATATGAAGAGAAAGTATCAGATCAGCACGAGGAGCTGGATAAAATTGCCACTGACAATAGCCCTGTAGATATTTATGTCAGAGGTGCTGCATGGCGACAAAAATCTTCATGGACAGAATTGGTTCGTGATGCCACTAGAAGTTCTTTCAGCATTTCACAAATTTTGCCTGGTCTAAGTCTTCCAAAACCAGAGTTGCCAGTGATAGGAGAGACCGTAAAAGCACAAAAATCTAACAGCATGGATAAAAGTGATTCGCAAGATGTTTCTGTTGAGGAGCAGAATAATGTTCATTTCAGTAAAGAGCTTCCAGTGTTGGACAACTATCAGCAGAAAGAAACAAAGAAGAATGAAGCCAGTGCTCCAACCCCCGAAAAGGAACATGTATCTGCATCAAAACAAGCACTTGTAGGAGATACTAACTACAGCGAAACTTGTTCTTTCATGAAGAGTGCTGCTTCAATGAAGGAGTGGACGAAAACAAAAGCAGCACTAAGTGGGTCATTCAAGAAGAAGACTAATGAGAAGAAGTAGTGGATACTTCAGAATAGCTTCATGTAAGATATGACGGCTTCAAGTTACATAGACGATCCAATTCCCTTTTCATTTAGGTGCATAATTTTCATTCCAGAATCAGTTGTGCCATTCTTGAATCTGTATTTCTCCATTTGAAGATTATACATGGACATCCTTCTGTTTGTAGCCCTGTGTTGTAATGTGGCAGGCTTACTTGCAAAGTTGTATCTGAATATGCTTTGAATTTGAATACCAGAAAATTGGTATTGTTAAACACAACCTTAACTGCCCACGCAACCAAAACAAATGCATTTTCCCCTCAATTTTGTCGTTTCTTATCTTTACTTTTCTTAACATACATGAACGTGTCATTATATTTTAGTTCATTTTACATCTACGTTCTCCAACTTTCGATGTATACAATTAAGCTTAACTTGTATTAAATTAAACAAGTAGATGCATGTATTCAACATGATAAATCGTGTGTAATATACTCTAATTAATTTGTACTATCCATGGTAGGATGCATATTATGTAATGTAGGATCATGTGTTTACCGGTTCAACTTTATATAGAAGTGTAAGTTTTGTTATCCACTTGATCATGGTGGATTCTTCTGATGACAAAGCCGATTACTCTATTATTTGTTGGTGTTAAATGTATGATTCCTAACGATAATTATCAAATTTTTATTATCACAGAATGGACTGTAAACGTTCTAAATCACAATTATTAGG